GTATACAGTATATATTAAAATATGTGATATGTCTTATGCTGTTGCTTGCCAGGATAGGCTCTGTCTCCCCTGCAGTATTTAATTGAAAGAAGCAGTTAGAAAATAAATGGAATAACAATATTGCACATAGCAAAGTCACGTGTATTATTCACATACTCAGAATAATAATTCTTTGTAAATTTTATAATTCTGAATGGAAATACTCAGAATTTGTCCGTTAGAATGAAATGCTTACGCCAACAACAGGAACTTACACAGAGTATATGCTATACGACATTTTCATGATAATTGTCTGTTATACAATGAGAAGCAAATAAAGGTTTCTAAAGAAAAAGAAAGAAAAAACTGGCTGTGGAGCCTTCTTCAGGTAAGAGGAAGAGGGAGAGGCTGTAGGAATGAGAAGCAAAAGAGAACTAAAGCAAGGGTAAGTGAGAATGGGCACAGCAAGTGAGAAAAAGTACACAGATGAATGAAAATGTGGTAGATGAATTCCAAGGGAAGTGTGAAAAGCTCAAGTCTGTAAATGAATGGAGAGGTTTTAAAAATAAATCAGTCTCTCATTGAGAGCTAGTGGAAGGTGTGATCCTAGTTTTAGGATAATCTTGGCTTCTGATGTCTTTCTGAAATAAGAGTCCTGCAAACCTGGTCCAAATGTACCTTTCCCACATACAGTAAGAGTCCTAGACACTTGTTTTCATCTTAAGCAAATATTTGGATTTCCACATTTCTTATTTATTGGATGCGTATTCCATTTATCTGGACACTTTTTTTTTGTCTGCTGTGCCCTTTCTCAAATGCTTTGTTTTTGCTCTCTTTCTCTGTACAGTATATGCCTGAACCATTTCTCTCTTTCTCATTGTATCTGAAGAAATCTGCACACCAAAAACTTTCAGTTTGAAATTAACCTTTTGTTACTTGTTACTTCACAGCCTATACACTAATGCAGTTCCCCACTCGAAACTTATTAAACCAATGAGGACTAACAGTGCAAAAACTGACATAATATAACCTTAATCTGCTGGATTATTTGAAGATTTAAAACAAATGGTGTACAAGTTATGAGGACAGAACAGAACAGATGTACAATAAATCAGTTGTTTTGAAAGTACAGTAGCTTCCAAATGGATGTAGAATTTGATTTTTATTTAGCATTTAACAAGTAAAAATTGTAAGGTACAGTATTATGTAAAAGAAAACGATAGAAATACAGTAGTTTGGTCTTTTCAAAATGTAAGATGTTAATTGCATGCTATGTAAGTTTTTAAATTTTACAGAAATATTTAGGGAGTAGATCTTCTCATAATCTCAGAGTGGTGTCATGGCTACCACAAAGGTTGACAGACAGGACAAGCCAGGCTTTTCTCTTTGAGATGCTCACTTTGTTCATATAAATATGTAATGTTGTTCAGTTACATTTTATATACAACTTTGACTGTATGGATCAGAGTAGGAAGGTAGGAGAAATCAACAACACTACAGTGACTATATTTGTTGTATTAAGTCATTTTACATCTGCATGTTTATATTACTTGTCTATTAATTATTTCGAAATAATAAAAAAACATTCCTAGAAAAAATAAAATATCTAAAACTAAAAAACAGAAAAGGAAAAAAGGAGCTAATGTTCCTGTGTCCTGTGAATTATTGACATCTTTATCCATTAATACAGTATGAGTTACCCAGTTGGCCATCGTGATATAAATATGAGGAGAATTAACAGAATCTTAAATTACAGAAATTTCTGTAAGCCTCATTTACATTCTTTTCTTTTACTCATATTTCTTTATTTATATTTTTGTAATCTTTGAAAATGCTATTGATGGTTAGATCTGAATGCATATTCAAAAGTACAATTTGAATATTGCTACTGTATTGACATTATAATTCTTGGCTATTATTTTTTTCCCTTCTGTGATTCAGTCTGGGTTTGATGAATGGGAAATAGTCTAGTCTTCTGTTATTCCCTAAAAACCTTTGTAAGTTATGCAAATAATGAGCAAGCTTTGGGTTTTTTTGTTTGCTCACTTTAAAAAATACAAGACCCTTTAATGAATGCATGCATTATAGCTGTTCTTTCAGTTCAAGAGTAAATTGTGTTTTAACTTTGTTGAAATATAATGATCTGGCTATAACTGGAAAATTGTCATCTTTATAAATAGGTTGAAGTGGAGATCAGTGTGTGAGCTGAAAAGGAGCAAATATCTTTCTTGATATCCATGATATTGGAGTGTAATGCTCTAATTCAAAGAAAAAACATAACAGTAACATAACTGTCAGTGATGTCTAGACGTCAGTAGAATAGGTTGGTGGGACACATTTGCTTTCAGCCTAAATGTGAATGCAATACTTAATGTCGTAATCACATTCTTTTCAGCTGAAAAGCCACAGAGCTTAGAGTGTTAAGAAAGCTAGAAGGTCAAAGTTTAATTACATCATCCCCCTAGAACAATAGAAAATACATATAACACAAATAGCACTTAGTAGAATGGGTCAAACAGCTGCCTCTCATTTTAAACCATTGTTAATGCAGAATAAATGTCAAAATCATTTAATAACTTATCACAAAATAACTCAATTATGGATCAGCAAGTGACTGATTAACTTCAATTATCTCTCTGAAGCTTTTAATGTTTTGTCTGTGGAATGAGCTGAACAAATAAAATTCCATCTCTAAAGTGTATCCCTCAAGTATCAAGTGATGCAAGCCTATGCATCTGTAGTTTATTGCTCTTTAATGGCCACTTGTTTTAACTTGATAACTGAGTGTTTTACCTTTGTTGTTAATTAAAGGTATGGTGCACTTGCAGGAAGATGATCATGAAGTGCTTTAATTTTCTCCTTAATTACAAAAGGTGTTGTTGCTCTGACTACATTAAGTCAACTTTCTTTCCCCAGTTTTGCACTTACTGTATATTGTAATATTTAGGAGCTCAGGGACCCCCTAAGCACTTCTTTTGCATTGTACAGTATCATACTGCAAAGCAGGATTTTAAATAAAAAATCTTTCAAAACAATACTGTACCACCTAGGAGTTTGGAAAAGTATCCACAATTTTGTTTAAGTATAGTGATCTCTGTCCAGAAGTCTTGTTTTTTACAGCATATTGAGTTTGCTCATAAATAAAATTTTAATATAATTGTTAGCATTGTGACAAATTAAAGCTTTTTACAAATGATTTTCATTCTTTATAGTTTTCTAAATGAATGACATAAAATATTTCATCACATGTTGTTTATGTGGGTAGCTACTGCAGTAGGGTTTATTACATCAGATAAAGTACTGTATGTGTTTATCACACCTAAAATAAACGTATTCAATTATTTTTTACAGTCATGTAAAAACACAGAGTTGTAAGGTAACTGATATTACAAAATGTGAATATCACATATCAATGTGAATGTAAGTTGGACTGTCATTATATAATAAAAACTTGCTTACATACACATACATACATACTACTTGCATGCTTACATGACATAGTACTTGCATATAATATATTCAGAATATAACAGGGTGGGGCTTCCCCAAGTTATGTATAGAGAATATTTTAAAATAATTGGAATGAAGATGGATTACCACAAAAGTCTCAGGTTGCATTATTATTGTTTATTGTTTTTTTGGAAACAGGTGATATTTCTTTAGGTATTCGATGTCATCTGGGCCTTTTTATTGTTAATTTGCACAATATCAGCAGTGCATTTCTGTTTGCAATACAGGCCAAATGTTTGAAAACAAGTCCAAATGATGAACTAAGGTAACACACTGCATCTTCAAATGAGAAGACAGTTTACAGAATCAACAAATACAGTTAAGGAATCCCCTGTTTTTCTTTCTTTTCTGTAGTAACCCTTTTTTGATCAGGTTCATGCCACATTATTTGTCTAGAACATGTCATAGAAAGAAATTCAATTTTAGCATTAGGTGCACTGTATATAATACTGTATGTGTAATATACCTGTATACTGTAGTTCAATGCATTTGCAACTGGTGAAAAAGAAAAAAAAACATTACAAACTGTCCATAATCACTACATAAAAATAAAACCCATAATGCACTGTAAAAGCATTCATAAATATTTTAGAACATCAAATATGCCTATTGCAGTTTAGAGAAATAACACATAATTTGGGTAATAATAGTTCAGCAGTGTGCTTCTGAGGTGTAATCTGAAGGACTGAAAGACAGGCCTCAGCCTGCAATGTTTATGCAGTATCTGATCCTCCTCAGTAGTCCGTGCCAGGTTTTGTGAGATCTCCATGCCCTGCTCATGCAGTGCTCTGAAGCTTTAGGTTTTGGTTCAAAGGAAGCCGCACACATGCTTGGCTACACGATGTCTCATAATAACTGCACTCTGACTAAAGGACTGAGCATACAGAAACTTACATTTTTTGTTTTGTCAGGCAATTGAGATCAATGTGTCATTAACGCAGGAGGCTTAAGAAACAGGAAATAAAATCATCATTTACCGTCACTGCTCCATATGGTGTACTACTGTCTTCAGAGCCTGTGCTACAGTAAATTCTCCTTTGTTGTGGCTATTTATAATTAAAAGCTACAGCCTTTGAGAAGTTATCTGGATGTGCTGAGACAACATGGACATATTCTTAAGACTTAACTCTTTCTTTCTTAAGGATTGGGATTGTTTTGGCCTTGGAAGCATATCTTAGGTCGGAGCACTGGGGACAGTTTTTTTTTCTTCAAGGATATGTGGTTTCTTTGCTGTAGTTTTTTTTTACCACAGTTTCAGTGTCTCAAACTAACAGTATCACGATTTGCACATCTATAGTGTGATACCTGAATAACAGAGCTGCTCTGAACTTGGGAAGCAGACTGTTTTTTTTTCTCTCTGAAGGGTTTTTACAACATTATGAAGAATCACTCATGTGTGGATACTGGGCATCCGAACATGGCTTTCTATGGCATGGTGGACCCTCTGGAAATCTCTGTTAGTCCAGTGAAGCGACTGAGAACTGAATACCCAATTCCCTGTCTCTTTGCAGAGGAGGCCTACCAGAAACTGGCCACCGAGACACTGGAGGAGTTAGACTGGTGCCTGGACCAGCTGGAAACTCTACAGACCAGGCACTCCGTCAGTGAGATGGCCTCCAATAAGGTAAGGAACCTTTAGCACATCCTATGCTATCTCAGCATCTCATATGTTTAAAGCTTTCCTTTCTTTGCAAATTGTGTGACTTAATGGCATTTGGGGTTCTTGGTGTTACAAGTGTCACTAGAACAGGTGATTTTACTTAATTAAATCTCACAGGTGCTCACATATCATCACGGGTGTGCAGGCATCTCATGTAGAATAAAAATGGCTGTCCTGGGGGGCAGTGTCTGACATGCATGTATCACTTGTTGGCTCCTGCCTTTGATGTTTTAGTGTACATCACATTAATTTTAAATAGGCATTTGCTCCCGTGTTGATTTGCACATTGTTTAAAAAACGTTTTCCCAGGCATGTGAAATTTAAACTTGTTCAAAATGTGCAACTGTCAGTTTCAGAATGTGCAGGTCTGTAAACGTACACAGAAAGAAAAGAAATGCCTTGCTCATTATTATTCTGCTTGTTTGTTTCACATTACAAAGGCAGAAGTTTCCTGTACTTGAAACATTGTTGTGGACTTGTATTTTGCATTGGTGGAATGTTTATTGCTAACTGCATCACCCAAAATGATGAAGGGGGAGGAATGATTTTGAAAAGCAGATCATGGCAATATGTAGAGTGTAATGTAAGGATGTGTAAGTATAAGGGTTGTTTTTCTAATGGGTGTTTCATGCATGTAGAAATATGAGTTTTCTGTGAAATGACAACTTTGATTTCTTTTGATACCTTTTGAAACCTTCAGCTTATGCTTATACTGTAAATTTTAATGCAATTCTGGAATAGCAAAGCACAACATATTTCTAAAGGAGGAAAGTGTTCATTTTGTAAAATATTGCCTGTCTTCTGGGTTTGCTGAAATATGATGTTGAACAGACGTTTGCCAAGATGTAGGCTGACTTGTCGCAGCCAATCTGAAGGTCATGTGTTTGTTGCCACACTATATCAAACCATTTAGGAATTTCAGTCACATTCAAAATGGTTAAATGGCACTTAAAGAAAAACACAGCTTATCTTCCTTTCATTGTTCGGGGTACCTATAATATTTTTCACCAATCTACTGTATGTCCCTAATCTAGATAAAATGCCTTTGCATGAATGAAACTAAATTGAAAAATAGACTACAAAATGTATACTTTTTCTATTTTTTTCTTCATACTGTACAGTGTTGTACTCTCTAGCTAGTAATTTTGAGTGTGTGTGTGGGACTTGAATCAACAATGTCTTGTCCTGGTCTTGATTGATCCATATAATGGGGAAATGTCTTTCTTTCTTTTAATTTATTGTTTCTTTGTAATTGCTTAATAGCTTTGTGCCAAGCAACTCAATTAATACGATGCCAAAAACTTTTTAAAACACCTTTAGTGTCCTGCTTATGGCCTTGGTTGTAATCTGAATGCACCGCTCTAGGCTCAGATGAGAAATCTACAGTATCTTCATTTATACAGTATGTAGTCGTCATTATGTTTAAGGTATTATCAACCTCCACAATTACCCCCACATGCCATGACCCATTCTTAAAAATTAAAATATTTTTAAGAATGGAGAGAAAATGGAGAATTTAACCCTTTCTGTAACTGAGACAGTGTCATCTTAGAAGCAAATTGCTGTAGGCTCTCACTAATCATTTCAAGTAAAAAGAAAACTAATTACCATTCTTTACAGAATTCTTTCATCTTCTCTCATTTGGTTTTTCTTTAATGTAGTTGATAGATAGATAGTTTATTGATCTTGTGAGGGAAATTGATACATACAATATGAAGCCACATAACCAGACCACACAGAACATTAATGATATTTATTTAAAAACCTATAATAAATTCATAATAAGAATCTGATTTATCCAAAAATATATAAAAAGGCTTATTAAAGATTCAATATAAGAAAAATGTAAATATAAGGTAGTTAATAGGACATTAACAGAGATATATTTTCTTTTTTCCTCATAATTAATTCCACTGATTAAATGAAAAAGAAAATTTTAAATGAAATTGAAATTTCTAATGGAAATAATTTAATTGTTTTTTATGTCATGTCATTTGAATTGCATGGGTTGACCTGAATGAAAAGATTTAGTAAACTGATTGAGCAGGAGAGCATTATATAATCCCCTTTAATACAATCAGTCTTTATTTGCTGTCATGATGTTCTGATCTCCCCTAATCTTTCTAGGAACAGCTAAACAAGTTTGTTTATGTCAGAATGCAGACAGCGAAATTTAAATACCACCCTTTATTAAATAAGTTCTATATTATTTAAGTGTATGGCGATAGTGTCTATACTGTATGCTTTAAATGTCTTGTTAATAACATGTTTAGCATGTATTATCATTTTAAAAATCTGATACAGTACATACTGTATGGTAGTGCTAAGGACTTGACAGAGTTGTTTTCATTGTTTAATAATGAAGGGACAGTTGCAAAAATCAGATTTTTTATTCATATAATTCTGTTTGAAATATTTACAGATTAAATATGATATAAATAGGATAAAAAACATTATGTTTCACAAAATTCTTGTCCAAACCCTTGTCATTGAACATGCTTTCCTGCACTATCTACGCACAAAGAGGCATCATACTTGAATAAAAAAAATATCCATTCAACCATAAAACAAATAAAAATAGTTATTTGTTACATTGTTCTACAATTACAGATATCTGTAATTGTAAAAGTTCAAATCCATATAAACTACAAGTAAGTAACACATTTGGATATTCAATTCTTTTTTATAAATGCATCATATAGTTTGTGAGGACAATTGAAGCTCTGTAAGAGGAACAAGTGATGAGCTAAGTTCAATTTAGGCAAATTGTGACAGTTCGTCAGGAGTTTCATCAAAGGAGAATCAAAGATAGCAGAGATGATACATGTATATCTTCTATAGCTAGCATGCTTTTGGAGTCTTAAGATGTGAAAAATACACCCTTTTAATAGGGCTGGGGCTTTTTTTTTGTTTTGCTGAGATTGATTATTTTGTGGCTTCAGTTTTATGGAACAATTAAAGCAATAGCAAAAAGAAAGTTGTGCTTTTGTAACAAACATGCAAGCAATTAAATTATCAAATAATAAGTTTCAAAAAAGTGTTGGAGCATACCATGATTCTCAGTTCTTAATTTTGAGTAGGAAATTAAACCTTTTAAGAATTTTCTCAAAAGTATTTTTGTTTGTTTTTTAAGGAGAATGATTTCAACTTTCTTTAGTTTACTATTATTGTTATGAATGAAGAAGATTCAACAGAGTAATAGTATCATTTGGAAGTATACAATCATTTTGGGGATAATTATCTGTGATATAATGTCGGTTTTTGTCATTGCATGTTATTAATTAAAAGCCTTGCTCAAGTGTTTTTTGGTTATTTGTAAACAAATAAAGTAGGGTTAAATTAAACCTTACATGAAACAACCTATGTGCTTTTTACTGGTAAATGCTATTTATTTTTATGATGTCAATGAAAATAGAATGCATATCAGTAGTTCCCACTTAAGGACACAAGCAGATTCATGTTCATTTTTGATTTACCATCAGTTAGAAAACCATGAAGAGACTCCAGCTGTAATTTAGTTTGTTTTCATTATAATTAACTTCCAGCTCTGTGGCTTTTGTGGTATGCAAGCAAATGCTGCCATTTCTAACCCTTACTGCGAATACATATTACAATACACAGTGACAAAACTATTCAGACCCTTGCACAGGTTTCACATTTTATTGCTCTAAAGCTTGCTCTCATGACACTTTGATATGTGTTACAGTACATACGCAACCCACTCCATACAGCAAAAAAAAACCAAAACGCATATAGATTACATGAAAAAAACAGGAAAAATCACGATTGCAGCATTTAAATTATCTCAATTAGCTACACAATTAGATGAGTATCTTGCATTTGTGTGCAGAAATGATTGTTCACATGATTTCAGAATACATACTATACACCTCTCTCTAAGTTCCTTTAGCCAGGCAGTGAATTTAATCATGAAGACCAGGGAGTTTTCAAAACAACTCAGGGATTAAGTTGTATAAAGGCACAGGACAGGAGGAGAGTATAAAACCTTTAAAAGGCCCTTAATATATTTTTGAGCATGTTGATTCTCACAAAGTGGAAGGTACTAAGATACCACCTTGACCTAGGCTAAGGATGCAACTGTGAGGACAATGGCCACTTTGACGTTATTGCAGACAACAGTGGAAGAAAATGGCCATAGATCAACAGTACCCCTATCACTCCACAAATTAGACTTGCATGGAATTGAACAAAAAAAGCTTTTGCATTCTCATATGGAGTTTACAACAAAGCATCCGAGTGTTAATGCAATCAAGGGGCAAAAGATTTTGTAATGAGAAAAGGACAAAATTTGAACTTTTTGGTCTAAAATCAAAGCTTTAAAGCTAATTCTACTGTATAACAACACCATGTCTACAGTCAAGCACAGTAGTGGCAGCATTATGTTATAGTTCTGCTTCTCATCAGCAGGGACTGGGAAATTTGTGAAGACCAATCTGAACATACAGTAAATCGAGTAAAGTATACAGTATGGTTAGCTTTGCTGCTTTGCACTACTGGAGCCCTGAGTTCAATTCTGGACTCGTGGTGCAATCTGGATGGAGTTTGTATGATCTCTCTGTGTTCACATGGGGTCCTTCCAATTGCTCTTACTTCCTCCCACAGTCCGAACACATGCCGGTGTGTTAATTTGCTTCTGGGCAAATGGGCCCTGGTTTGAGTTTGCGTGCATACTTTGTGTCTGTGTGAGTTCAGCAATGGACTGGCATCCCATCCAGGGTGTATCCTGGTTTTCACTCATTGCATGCTTGGGTAGGCTCCTGTTCCCTTGTAATCCTGAATTGGCAGAAGTGGTTAGAAAATGGATGTACTACATGTTATCTGTTCTTATGGAGTTTATTTAATGAAAGTTCGGGAGGGATGACAACAACCATGCTCAATCATTCCCAGCCGTCAGTGATTAGCAATCACTCCCTTCGTCCTTCCTCCACTGAACACTATAAATA